GTTATATAATTACAAATACATGCACATGGACCTTTTCAAAACGGCATTGTTAATAATAATTGTAGATTTTTTTAATAAAGAGCCATACCTACTTCATTTTATATCTTTTCAATGTCCCTTAATAACTTACACAATATCATTTTTTCAACCTTTTCAAGAAAAATCTTTTGACTATTGTATTTGCTTTCTTATATGACAAAAGTCTTCTGCTTCGGGCTGATAAACGGCTGAGTATTGAGCAAGCTTGAAAGGAACAAGTACTACCATACATATTTATTGGTTAACAGAGCCGGAATCTTGGTACGTGACAAACGAGAAACTAAAGAAAAAAAAGAATATTTCAGGTATTATGTTTACACAGTATTTGTCTAAAGGTAGTGGATTTAATTAACATGTAAAATTAACTTAGTTTACTTTGCGCTTTTTTTTTCGAGTGGGAAAATCATCCTTTGACTTCTCCCACCTTGGACGAGGCGAGATAGTGTCAAACGATTCCTGACTAAAAACTACTCCATTTCTACTTTTGCTCCTACAGAGCCGGAGTCCCTGTAATCTTTCAAGTCTTCCGCAGCTCCGTATATGCATCAGCCCTACTGGAACCATCTGTAGTGGGCCAATGGCTCTTCGAGGGACGAGGTACACGAAGAACGCGACGCGCCGTACGCTCGGGAATTTACTTTATGTTGGCATTTTTATTTTGAAAGAATGACATTGTAAATGATATCTTCATAGGACTTAGCTACGATTTTAAAATAATGATATTCAATTGTTTTTATGAGATAGTCATTAATTTGGATAGAACAGAACTAATGAAATTTATCTTGGCAATATTAATGTTTTAATAATGTAACATTGCAATTAATATTATACGAATTTTGTTAGATAAAATTTTTATCCCTCTATCAATTTATGAGAGTTAACATTTTACTGTCAACAGTTACAGTTAACATTTCATTGTCCGCGATATGAACTGGTTTATATAAAAAACAAACATTTTCTAACAGAATAAACTTTCTGCGAGTTAT